AGTCGATACCATTAGAAAGCATGGTCGTAGTGCAGTCTCCATGGAGACCATGGACTCCTATGGACTCACATGCAAAGGAGGATCGAGCCATATGCGAGGAGGGCCAGGCACAGCCATGAGGAGGACCAAGCTCAAGGAGCAGGCACAGCCACGAGGAGGACCAAGCTCAAGGAGCAGGCACAGCCACGAAGGGGACCAAGCTCAAGGAGCATGCAGATGGTTACCACTCAGGGGGCTCGAGAGACAAGAGTCAAAGGAACTGTCACCAGTCAAAGGAGAAGGAGCAGTGTCAAAGGAGTCGACACCACTCAGGAGGCACAGGGGTGCCAAACAAGCAGCAGGATAGCAAGGAGGAGGAGCAGTGTCGAAGGAGTCGACACAGCTCAAGAGGCACAGGGGTGCCAAGCAGGAGAGGCCCCTGAACAGTACTCGATGAAGAAGGGACTCTCTGGAGAGAGAGCAGGAGCAGCATCACTGGCGATGCTGTGAAGAGGTATATAACCATGCTTTCTCATCATCAAAGGTCAAGTGGATCCTCATCCACTCTACTCACCATACAACTAGTCAATACTTTAGAAACATAAGTACTCATTAGTTTTCAGTCAGCATAGCAGCAATCTATCAAGGTTGCTCCTCATCGTAGTGTGTGTGTTGTATCACCACTACCTGATGTCCGAAGGCGCCCATAGCAGGTTAGCGGTCTGGATCAAGATAGAACCGAAGGCAGTAGTCCACTGTGGTCTGGGGATCACCTTAAGCAAGCATCAGTCAACACACTGGACACTCATGTTGACGCCACCAACCTCATCACCAACACCATCAACCTCATTATCATCGACATTCACCAACCTTATCACCAACACCATCAACCTCATCATCATCAACACTCACACCAGACCTTGGTGTCAACATAACCTACGCATTGATATTGATCATGCCAAGCTACCCCTGAACGGAGTGTCCACAGAGGTCAGCCGAAACCTATGATAGTATATACAATGAACACCACCTGCTGTCACTGCGCAACTTGATAGTCACCGAACGACTAGCTCACCAAGACAGATACCGAGACAATAGCTGTTGCACAGTTTGATAGTCACCGAGTATCTCGACAGACCGACCTGGGTTTCAGGCACGGGACCCCTGACACCGATTTCCTAGTGACTCGCTTCCTGTGCCGTACGAGCGGCAGGTTCGCTCATGTTTGTGCAATTACGAGCGATATGATTGGGTCCCCCACATGTGTAGCATCTTGGAGGAGCTGAGGGATTACGTGGATCACACCTGCCCCTGGGCCCCTGCTCCACCTGACTGGTACCCCCTTGCTCTGTGCTTGTAGCAACCCTGGCTGCTCCTCTGATATGACCTGAAATCTCACCATCCTGCTGTTTCTTGGCGAGTGTGTGGTAGGCTTCATCATACTTACAGTCTGGTTTGGCCATCTTGAGTGCATCAACGGAGTTGGCATAGAACCAATCTTGTGCCATGCAATGGTAGAGCATGGATTTCTTTAGGTCCTCATCAAGGCACTTCCCAAGACATGCAGCATCATTCCAAATGGAGTCAAGTTCCTTGCCTAGCCTGACAACATCCCGATTGTACAGGTGTACAGTGTGGATGCAGTCCTGCAGGCCCACTCGCTTCACCACGTCGTTCAATGTTAGTGCCTTCCTAAGCTTAGCGTAAAGTGTACTTCCAAGTTGGGCCTCCTCATCCGCACCCCTGATGGTGTATGTGTCGATGCAGCTTTCCGGGCTGTGATCACAGCAAGCGTGGATAAGGCCTACCAGTGCCTTGTCCAGGTCCTCATCATATCCCTCGCTTCCAGGTGCTATTTTGCTGTATAGGATTTCCTTTGCATTATGCACCCATTGCAGACAGTCGATAAAGGTGGGCTCCCAGGTGTGCCAGTTGTTATCACTAAGTTTCTTAATGTGTGCAATGGCACTCGAGACATCCTTGGGGTTCTTCTCTGCCTCCCCTCTTGGAGCTTGATTGCTAATGCTGACGAGACTCATTGCTCATACAATTGCTTCCTCTGCTGTCAATGCTGGGTTTGCCAACTGTAAGATCCTTACTACCTGTGTGAGCCAACCCTCCTCGTGACCATTGCCCGTGGTGGCAGCCGCTTGATCATCATCTCTCTCCTCCCTTCCCATCTGTCCTGCTCGTGTTGATGGGGGCATTATACTTGCCGTTGGACTCTTGATGCGTCAATGTCGTGCTGGATGTCGTGCTGAATGTCGTGGGTTCGAGCCCCACGTTGGGAGCCAGTTGAAGTTTCGTATGATTGATGATGATTCTTAGAGAGAGAGAGAGAGAGCGAGGAGAGAGAAGGAGTCTATATATACAAAAGAAGAGCAGCAGAGAGCTGCATCGACTGCGGAGCATAACAAAGCATTTGTCTTGAGTAGGTTGTGACACATGTGGTCCGTGCTCAGATGCTCAAGCCTTTTACTCGGCCGTAAGCACTACCTTCACCGTCTCTATGCTTTGTGTAGCTTTTATCTACTTCAACTCAACTTTCCTCCAAAAACATGCTTTTCAAAAAACCCACGTTTTTAAAAACGCAAAAACTTTGATACCCCCTAATCTTCAACTCTTTGATACCCCCTTCTATGTTAGAGATAACGATCCAGCAGAGAACAAGCTGACAACAGATCGGGAGGGATCGACCTGATCGGAGATCGGAGTTTAAGAGCGTCGTCGAGATCAGTCGGGAGAGCATCGAAGTCAATGATCACAGGTGTCAATTGCAATAATGAATCATATCTAAGTACATGATGAATCAAGTGTTCATATATGCATTGATGTCCTTTGCATGCATATTGTCATGGGCCTGGATGCTCAAGAAGCAGGAGGGTCACTGGTTCATATGGACGGAGCACAGGTATCGAAGACCTAGTCGATACCAGTAGAGAGCATGGTCATAGTGCAGTCTCCATGGAGACCATGGACTCCTATGGATTCACATGCAAAGGAGCACTGAGCCCATATGCGAGGAGGACCAGGCACAGCCACGAGGAGGACCAAGCTCAAAGAGCAGGCGCAGCCATGAGGAGGACCAAGCTCAGATGGTTACCACTCAGGGGCTCGAGAGACAGGAAGTCGACACAGGTCATGAGGAGGAGGAGCAGTGTCGAAGGAGTCGACACAGGTCATGAGGAGGAGGAGCAGTGTCGAAGGAGTCGACACCGCTCAAGAGGCACAGGGGTGCCAAGCAGGAGAGGCCCCTGAGCAGTACTCGATGAAGAAAGTACTCTCTGGAGAGAGAGCAGGAGCAGCATCGCTGGCGATGCTGTGAAGAGGTATATAACCATGCTTTCTCATCATCATAGGTCGAGTGGATCCCCATCCACTCTACTCACCATACAACTAGTCAATACTTTAGAAACACAAGTACTCAATAGTTACAGTCAGCATAGCAGCAATCTATCAAGGTTGCTCCTCATCGTAGTGTGTGTGTTGTATCACCACTACCTGACGTCCGTAGGTGCCCATAGCAGGTTAGCGGTCCGGATATAGATAGAACCGAAGGCAGTAGTCCACTGCGGTCTGGGGATCACTTCAAGCATCAAGTCAACACACTGGACACTCGTGTTGACGCCACCAACCTTATCACCAACACCATCAACCTCATTATCATCGACATCACCAATCTCATCACCAACACCATCAACCTCATCATCATCAACACTCACACCAGACCTTGGTGTCATCATAACATTGATATTGATCGTGCCGAGCTACCCCTGAATGGAGTGTCCACAGAGGTCAGCCGAAACCTACGATAGTATATACAACGAACGCCACCTGCTGTCACTGCACAACTTGATAGTCACCGATACCGAGACAATAGCTGTCACACAGTTTAATAGTCACCGAGTATCTCGACAGACCGACCTGGGTTTCAGGCGCGAGACCCCTGACACATATGTGGTGCTAGGAGTTGATAGGGCAAGAGTGTGAATGAGAAACTAAAGGGGAGGAGGAAAAACACCAGTTGCTGTTGACCAGTGTCTTGAGGTTTGGCAATTGGCCTGGGCACTGCATCAAGTCCAAGGGAGCAAAGTTGGTGATTTGATGTGTGGGCTCAGCAAAGGCTGCATTTGCATGCTTCAATTGCTGAGATGTCACATGCTTCAACTCCCCCCCTCACTAACTGAGCTACAGTATGGTCCAACATTAACCATTCCCAATCATTTTCATGTATGTGCCAAGAGGGTCTTAGAAACTGGTTTGGTGAGGAAGTCTGCAATGTTGCTATCAGTGTTGACATACCTTATGGAGATATCCCCTTCTTGTACATGATCACAAATGAGGTGATACTTTGTATTGATGTGTTTGAGTTTCGAATGTAAAGTGGGGTCATTCGCCACCTGAATGCATCTGGTGTTGTCAGTGAATATGATGGGTGGATGATCTCCATATCTGAGGCTGTGGAGTAGGTGCTTGTGGAATAGTGCCTCTCTTGTGGCTGCCGAACCAGTGATGTATTTGGCTTCCACTGCCAAGCTAGCAACACACTTTTGAACATGTGAGTTCCAGGTTACAACACTGCTGAAAACCTTGATAATTGAGCCTGATGTACTTTTCCAGTCAGTGTTGGGGTTGGAAGCCCAATTTGCATCTGTGAAGGCTTCAATGGCATTATCATTGGGATCATTGCCACTGATTCACAGGACATCATCCTGGGTCTGAATGAGATACTTGACAATGTGTAGCACTGCTTGCATCGCTTCTTCTGTAGGCCTTGACATGTGTCTTGTGAGCATGTTTACTGCATAGCAGATGTCAGGGCATACAGTGGTTGATACCCAAAGGAGTTTTCCTACTAGCTTTGGGTAATCATGCCTGAGGTCATGGTGGGTTTTGATATCCATTTCTGCTTTGGCCAGTGTTGTCATCATAGGGACCCAAGTTTTGTCATCAGGGCCTATCCATTTGTTAATGATGTCTTTGATATATGCCCATTGGTCCAAGTTGATCATCCATTTTTCTCAATCATGTGTGATCTTTATCTTGAGGAACTCCTTCACTGGCCTGGTGTTTTCTATTTTCCATTTGTCGATGATTGATTGTTTCACCATGTCAATCTGATATCTGTGAGGGGCAGTAATGAGCATGTCATCAACATATACTATGATGATCACCTGCTCATCACCAGCCCCTTTGGAGTATACACATGGGGTACCTTGTACTGAGAAGAACCCTAGGTGGTGCAGGTGTGAGTCCATTTCCTTATACCATTCCCACCCAGACTGTTTGAGACCATAGAGGCTCTTCACTAACTTATAAACCTTTCCATGTGGTATGGTTGTGCCTTCTGGGGGTTTCAAATAGATATCATGTTCCAGGTTGGCATTCAGGTATGCTTGTTTAACATCAATTGAATCAATCTCCCAATCAAGCCTTGCTGAGAGTACTAATACCATTTGTATTGCATCTCGAGGTACTACTGGTGCAAAAAACTCCATGTAATCTATCCCTTCTCTCTGTGAGAAGCCTCATGCACAGAGTCAGGCTTTAAATTTGTATGGAATACCATTTGCATCCATTTTGATATTAAGTACCAGTTTTGAGTCTACAAGATGAGCCTTTTGTGGCATATCAACAACCTCCCAGATATGCATGCTATCAAGGCCTTCCATCTTGGCTCAGATTGCCTCTTGCCAGTGGTTTTGGTCTGGCCCACTGAGCACCTCCTTCACCATTGGTCTAAGGTTGGTAACAGTCATCATGTTTGCACCAGTGTTTGGTCTTGGCATGAGCACATCCAATTTTCCTCATTGGCAGAGCTTTTCTTGGAAGCTCTGAAGCTTGGTTGGTTGTGGCAATCGTTTTCCATGGATTCAGAAGGATTCGGCAACCATGACCAGGTGTAGCCAGGGATAAGTTTCCTGGGCAGTGTCAATCCTGTCACCTTCTTTGTCGCTAAGGGTGTCATTTAAACTTGCACAGTCCTGTTTGGGATCCATATCTTGTCCTTTGATTGATTTGTCAATGTGAGCAATGAGTTGTGGGTGAGGTTCATCATGTATGTCCTCTTCAGCATATCCTAGGTCCTCTATGTCTGATGATTTGTTGTAGTGAAGGGGGCCCATGTCTTGGACTTGGATGGTGTCAGTGTGATCCTGCCACAATTTGTCTTTGAAGAATGTGGCAGCATTGGACCAGAAGATTGGGGGGTTGTTATGATATGAAGTGAACTTCCAGCCCTTATGCTCTTCATCATATCTGATGAAGAAGGCTGGAATAGCCATATCATCCAGTTTCTTTCATTTAGCCTTTGGTATATGAACCCAGGTGAGACATCCAAAATTTTACAGTAACTTGAATGGTTTTCACAGATCTTTATTGTAAAATACATCATATGGTATGAGGCCTTTGATGTTCAGTGTGATGTTATTCATGAAAACTGCAGCTTTGGCTGCAAAAGGCCAGAATGATTGAGGTAAACTATGGGTCTGCATCATAGTTACCATCATGTTCTTGATGGTTCAGATGGTTTGTTCAGCTTTTCCATTTTGCTCACTGTTGTATGTTGATGTTTTCTGCCATCTGAACCCTGTGTTGTTTTGCCATGCAGTGGCAGCTGCTGAAACCCATTCTGATCCATTGTCTGACCTGAGTGTTCTGAGTTTGTGACCTGTTTGGATTTTGGCATATCAGATCCATTCTCTCAATACTTGAAGTGCATCTGATTTAGCTTGCAGTGGTTTAACATATGTAAAGCTGGATGCATCATCTATGGCCACTAACAGACATGTGAATTCCATCATCATTGAGAAATGCATGGCTAGGTCAACATGTATTAGTTCCATCAGTGATTTTGCACATTCCCTGCTGCTTTGCCCCATCTGGGCTTTCATTGATTTGCCTGCTGCACAGACTTGGCAGTTGTCAGGCTTAATCTTGAGTTTGTAGAGCTTTTCGATCATTCTGGTCTTGTCTCTGCCTGGGTGTCCACACCATTCATGAATGAAGTTGTGGCTAAATATACATCTTTTAGGATCATTGTCTGAGTTGAGTCAGTCTGGTAAATTTGTTATGTCATCATCGATCATCATTATATATGCTTTTGAGCAGTTTGGGCAGATCTCACAGAGTCTAGTTCTGGGGTTTGCATGCCCATATAGCTCACAGCTGTCTGGCCATTCAAGATGTGCTTTATCAGATTCGAAAGTCACATGTATGCCATTGTTTGCTAAAGCCCATACTGATATCAGGTTTGTGTTTGCATCTGGGACATAGAGTATATCAGTTAAGTGCACCACATGTCCTTCAACATTAATCACAACCTGACCTCTAGCTACAATACAAATCATTGTTCCCCTGGCAGTCTTCACAAAGCTGATGCACAGAGTGGGAGAGATGAGAAATGTATTGTCATTAGTGATATGGTCAGTTGCACCTGAATCTACAATCCATGAGTTGGATTGCTAATCTAGTGATGGGCAATAGATAGAAGCAGCAGCACACCATATATCCTAGGCAGACATCTGGTTGCTGTTGGTCATGGGAGTGGTGCTAGTGTTGCTTGGCATCCAGAGTTTGCTGTTCAGATTCTTGGGGCAGAATCAGCTAATGTGGTTCTCACCCTGGCAATAGTAGCACTTTTGACAGCTGCCAGGACCTGGTTTGCCCAAGCTGTAGGCATCTTGGTTTGTAATTTGCCTGTTGGTGATGAAAACCTGTGTAGTCTTGCTGTCAGTCCTATAACTCAGCTTCATGGCCATGTCATCTTGTCATTTGAACAGAGCTGCACAAATTGCATCATAATCTGTTTCTCAGACATTATCTTGTAGATTCATGATGCAATTATTGTATGGATTCACAAATCTCACCTGATCGATGATAGTTTTGATCTTGAGGACTCTTGTTAGGTTAAAACCAATGGCTTTGGCCTTGGCCCAATGTTCATTTAGGTCAGTGGCAAATTTACAGACATCCACATTGAACATATGGATCCTTCTGGCTTCATAGAGGAGGGTCAATTCAGCAATGTGCTTCATCTTGGTGAGGTCTTTCTTGAGTCAGGCATATAATTGGTGAGTCCTCCATGATTCAGTGTTTTCAGGTTGTATGAACAAGTAGTTAACATTATCCTGGCCAATGAGCTTGGCATTGCTCTGGATGATCATGCAGAGCTTTGCATCCAGTTTTCGGTTGTACTTTTTGTCACCTGGTTTGGTAGTGCCATTGAGGTGCTTGAGGGCCAGGGGCCATGAGGCCAATATGTCCTGGAAGCAAGGATTCCAGGCATACCAGTTCTTTGTCATCAGTTTGGGGGTGTCTTTTAGTGCATCATTTAGTTGGGTCACCTTGTGGAGGAAACCTCGACATTTGGAAGGTAGCTTATATGAGGATGTCTTGGCTTGTTTATGTAGAGTAGATTGTGTGACAATGTTCTGGAGGGTGTTGATATTCATTTTGTTGATGTTGTTAAGGTCAAACAGAGGTTCGTTTGGTTCACTGTTGTCACTGTCAGAGTTATCAGAGGAGTCAGTATCAGATTCAGTGGCCCTTTGATGTTCTGCAGGTACCATAATTGTTTCAGCCTGTTCATCAGAGGGGTCCTCAAGTGAGGGGTCATTGGCAAGGTGCAGATTGTTGGGTTGTGGAGGCATGGTGTTGAGGATCATATGGCAAGAGCAGTCAGACTCTTAATCAGTTAAAGAGCATCATCAAGATCAGTTGGGAGAGCATCGAAGTCAATGATCACAGGTGTCAATTGCAAAAATGAATCATATCTAAGTACATGATGAATCAAGTGTTTATATATGCATTGATGTCCTTTGCATGTGTGTGTGGTGCTAGGAGTTGATAGGGCAAGAGCATGAATGAGAAACTAAAGGGGAGGAGGAAAAACACCAGTTGCTGTTGACCAGCATCTTGAGGTTTGGCAATTGGCCTGGGTGCTGCATCAAGTCCAAGGGAGCAAAGTTGGTGATTTGATGTGTGGGCTCGGCAAAGGCTGCATTTGCATGCTTCAATCACCGAGATGTCACATGCTTCAACTATCAGGCAAGCCAATATGATGAGGACCGAGAACCGTTGGGTCCCGTCCATTGTCGTACTAGTTGAAGTTATGCAATACACCACTTTGTCCAGGCTACGTGCTAGCTCCTTTCGCACAGGTGTATGGTAGATGCAATACTTGAGATTTCTTATGAACTATGTCTACAGTATCACTTGTATATATACCTTTAGCCCACTGTTGTGAATCCCTATTGTCACCCACTTAACTGAGCATACCATGTGTTGCCTTGGCATTGTCTTTCACTAGTGCCTCCTAATTGGTTGCCACATGTCAATCATGCAGGTTCATTCTTCGAACTCTCGGTGACTCGACTTTCCTGCATCTCGGCTAAAACTCCTGGTAATTCCGTCGCATCTTCAACTGTACTTGCTCATTAGGTGGGATGCTCCCACAGTCAGCCACAAACCACAAATGTATATAGATAATGAGCGGTGAGCTTGAGGCTACCGCTACGTCCTTCCCTTATGTCAATATAGTATAGTGTTTTAGCTCAAAAGCTTGAACACCATACTTGGACTGATATCTCCCGATAAGTGTCGATTAGAGCTAGTTTTTCTAACATTCTATACCAAGTCTGTCAGGTATAAAGTCTCATCATCAAACAACTCGACACCAGCTTCTTTCCACCACCGACCTCAATCAAGCCCCCTCGCTTCCCGTGGCTACGCACTTTCAGCCCTATTGACCGGCTCTCGGCCTTCTGAGCATTTCCATTGATACCATGCTGCATGACTGCGAAGGCAAAACGTACTGGGTTGCCCACGACATCCTCTATGGCGGCAGAGCTGGTCCTGAAGGCAAATATGAAGATGATCTGGAGGCTACTTCACCTGAAGCACACTACGATCGCAGCGCCGAGACTGGCCTTTACGTCTCATTTCGAGATGGAACGCTCGATGTGACACTCCACGTCACCGAAGGCTCATGTGGTAACATCGGCAACTTCAAGAAGCGCAGTAGACGTCTGGACGTCTGCATTTCCGGCTATGTCGGAGGTGCCTTGTACTCCTACAGCTTGAGCAAGGAAAATGCACGCTTCGAACTGACTAAACACCCCCTAGGGGGCCCAGACTATTACTGTTGCACCTGGCTATTCCAAAAAGACGGTGCCGAAGCAAGATGTCTGGAACTAGTTGATGGATGCTTTTTCATCAAGGTCACAGGATACAGCCTGAACTCGGAAGTAAGCTACCCTCTTCAAGAGCTTCCTAAAGTCTCTCATCCTCAACAATCGCTCGTGTCCATGGCGACTCTCCTGACTTCATCGGATGCCGACTTTGTTCTTTTTGCGCCCACGGTCCCGGCGGAAGAAAAGCGAACGCTACGAGTACACCGCCGCCTCCTGTGCGAAGCCAGCACCTATTTTGACACTCTTTTCGAATCGGACTTCGCAGAGGCTTCGAACTTGCGACGAGTGCAACCTCATGCTGACAAAGAGCAAGCATTGAAACGACAAGAGGAGGATAGGGTGGAAATAAGTGGCACTATGGGGTCCAACACGATCCCAACAATTAACGTCGACGACATCAGCTACAAGCAGCTGCAGACACTTGTCTACTATCTTTACACCGGCGTTGCGGTGTTCGAAAAACGCCGCAACTTGTTGGTGTCGTCCGGCAAGGGCGAGTCCTCCACTGACGCCTCGAAACCATGGTGGAACGGTCATTTGCGCCCTGCGAACGCCTTTGATATGTATCGCCTAGCTGACAAGTACGGTATCGAGGGTTTACGAATCGCTGCGCTCCAGTATATCACAAGCGAGATCTCGATTGAAGATCTCATCAAGGACGCCGAAATGTGTGAGGAGATCAGCTTGTTCCCCGAGATCGCTCAGGTTTACAAGGAATTCTGCGAGTGTGAGTGGTTCTATATCAAAATCCGCCCCGATCACAAGGAGATCTTTAAAGCTTTCGGGGTGAATCCGTCAGACAAGCCTCAACTTGCAAGACGGTATTGAGGCAAGCACTGACCAACATAGCTACCGCAGTGTGCACCCATCCAGACGATATCTCTCATGTACGTTTAGCCTAGTCCCCGCTCCCTGTTGATCTCATGGGTCGAACGTAGATTTAGCTAGCCTCATTGCATCATCGCAACCTCACATTGATCCTTGGAGTGTGTAGTGAGTGCGAGAGGAAAAGTGTAAGAGTTGACAGGAGGATCAAGTGTCGGGCGCTCTATGTGACGGCGCGAGGCCATTGCGTTGTTTGGTTTGTGTTGGCACGCCTCGTTCGGACGGTTACCATACAGAAAGAGCAAATCTGACACTAGATATGAGCGGGATCGCTGCAAGGAACTTGCACCGTGAGCAACTGTGAACTCTGCAAACTGTATGTAGGCCCACTCTACAGATCCAGTATCGAAAAAGACAGTCTTGCCACAGGGTTCAAGAACGTGCCGGGCCGTGTTTCTTCTTCGATTGCTTACAGGCCTTCTTACGGAAGGAACAAATAAATTGTTTGCCGAACAGGGCTGTCCCGCGCAAACAGGCGAGATCACGAAATTCGCCGACGCGGCGCAAAGGCTGAGGGGCAGTCAGATGGGCATAGCCTTGTGCAACCCTTGTTCGCTATCTTCAAGTGTCCCCTTTGAGATGCCGTTCGTCCGCACCCTTGCCCCCAGTGCTTCCCATGATGACCGACCAGCTTGGTTTCGAGCAACCACCAACCTCTCCACCTTCGTTGCGAGTTATCATCATGCCAACGACATCCCCGTTTCGATAGAGAACCTCGACTAGGTTCAGCTCGCACTCTAGAACGTCACACTACGGATCGGTCGCGGATCAACACGAACTCGGGATGTTGTTTCAATCCACCTCGCCACTGACGGCGCTCACTGTGGTGCTGGTGCTTTCCAGCGCCGTTTTGGCCGGCAACTATACCCTGCGAGATGAGATTACGGGTCGTCAATTCTTAGATCGCTTCTGGTTCTGGTCCTACAACGATCCCACACACGGTACTGTCAACTATGTCGATCAGTTCACTGCTATTGCCAACCGGCTGGCATACGTCAACTCGAACAATCACTTTGTGATTCGCGCTGACAACACCTCCGTCGTACCACCAGGTCGAGGCCGACAGAGCGTCAGAATGCATAGCAAGCGCACTGTCGGCGACGGTATCATTGTCGGCAAGTTCTCGTTCATGCCTCAAGGATGTGCGACATGGCCGGCCTTCTGGATGTGCACAAATGGCAACTGGCCAGCAGGAGGAGAGATTGACATCGTCGAAGGAGCCAATGATCAAGGTCCTCGCAACCTTGCCAGTCTACACACCTTATACGGCTGTCATATTCCATCAGGCTCACGGTCCGACCAGCTCGGAATCACTTCCCAAACAGATTGCTCCTACCAACCTGGCTGCTCAGCCTCCTTTACCGCCGACAACTCCTTCGGTCCCAACTTCAACCGGAACGGCGGAGGCTACTTTGCCGTCCGAAGAGAAACACGACCTGGCGATTGGGGCATTGGAGTCTACTTCTGGCCCATCACCTCTTCCCCCTCCTCCCTACCCTCTGCTGTCGCTGCACTCGCCGACGGAGTCTCAGCGCCCAAGTACGTCGTCACCAACAGCAACGCAACCGGCAACGACCGAAGCGAACTCAACAAGTGGGGTACACCATCCGCATTCTTCGCCAACACTGCCAACTCTTCGGCCACACCAGCATCTCTCGCTGGAGGAGACGGTTCCGTATGCGAGATGAACAAGTTCTTCGACGAGCATACGATCATCATCAACCTAAGCTTGTGCGGTGATTGGGCAGGAGAGACCTTTGCACTGAGTGGATGTGCGGCACGATACAACAACTTATCGTGTGACAACTTTGTGCGTAACTACCCACAGGCGTTCAGTGATGCGAGGTGGGAAATCAACTATATGAGGATCTATGATAATGCTGCTAGTCTGAAGGGTCGGCCGGCGGCGATGTTCTATTGGATGCTATCGGTGCTTGTCATGGGATACTTGTTTACATAGAGGTAGCGATCACAAGTTTGATGCATACACTCTTGTACAGTAGACTTGCTAGAATGGTACATGTATAGACTGACGTCTAGTGCGAGCTCATTTGGCAGCAGCAAGAAGCCGATGTGGGCACTGAACACAAGAGGTATGAAGTGTGGACAGCGGCAAAAATGTGGATGAAAATGTGGGCGAGGGAAAAAAATGAACTGCAGCACCTAGGATTCCCGCGTGGTCCCCCACCGCAGTACTGACTAGGCGATACCTTGCTTAACTTCGCAGATCGGACGGGATGCGGTGCTTTCAAGGTTCTATGGCCGCAGATAAACAGATCCCATGGAGGAGAGTATACGTCCTGCTATCAGTTTTCTCCGTGCAACGGAAGAGCATCTTTTCAGCCTACTTTTTTGATGAATGTTAGGATAGAAATCTCACAGTGGCTATGTCTCGGCACAATTCGGACGTCACGTTACAGCTGCATTTTTAGCCAGTTTGCCGGCAAACAGAAGCTCGTTCTTTGACAGCTCTCCGTGACAAGTGCTTGTATAAATTCATTGCGGCTCTTTATGAGAAGAATGCCAACATACGGAGGTCGACCCCATTGACAGAAGTATTGCCAATACTGCAGACAAAGCGATCAACGAAACATGTTGCAGAACAGCGAGGCGGTATGGCCAAAGGGCGATGCTGGAAGGATGTGCAAAGGCGAAAGTTTCAGCAGAAAAATTCAGACACAGATAAGAGAAACGTTTGCTGATCCTTAACCGAGGCCAGACGAGCCTCAGGTTCACCCCGTTCACTACAGAACCCTTGAGATGCTGCATTGCATTGGGCCGGAAATCTTTTACCGGCAGCAAATGGCGGCGGCTACTACTCCTATCATTATGCCGTCGGGAAACAAAACTTTGCCAATGCTTTCACACGTCTCGCTTTACTGTTCCGATCCCTTAGTGTGTGCGCGCCTGTGGTTGATGATGACGGATCGATATGATGCTAATGGGAATGGATGTCAATCTCGTGTGCGCAGCAAAGCGAGCGTCGGATCGAAAGCGGTTTTGGCGACTTTTGTTCTTCTCTTTGAGTCACAACGGTGTCGATACGCCCTTCGGCTATAGCCCCAAGACTTGCCGTCGTCGGTCAATGCCTCCACCGCTGATGTGATCTGCAGAACACTGTGTGACAGCTCGTCACTTCCGTCCGGCCAGCTCTCGTTTGGACGCCACTGGTGTCCAAGTCGTTGCCTTCCTTCTTGACGCAATCATTCAACGCGCCCCTTTTCAAACGTCCGTGCCCTCGCCGGGCTAGTTGCTTTTCATACCACTTCCGTCTTTTTCCGCGACCCTTTCAAGAGCAATCGACCTTTTCGTCCCTTCTCACTCTCTACGTCGAGGCCGTTACTTACCCGGCGCATAACGAATAATCATGACAATCGGCGAACCACCAACGACATCGTGTCCAGCTATGACTGCGGCTGCCCCTACCGACTCATCTACGATACCTAATCCATACCCCGGGAATGAACAACCTCAATCACCTGGTTCAAGCAACTCTGATGATGCGAACAACGATCCCTTCACATATGCTTCTACTGCCGTAGCTACGCCCATGGACCGGTCAGAAGCTGCAACTCGCGTCAACTCGATCGATGTCGAGCGTGTCCTTCAGAAGCTCCACAACCAGGTCGAGAAGGGTGACACCACCGCCATTGCCGAATTTGAAAAGCTCGCCCACCTTCATCAGCTGCCTCTGCACGAGCATCATAAACTTCATTTGCACTATCCTCACCTCCACAACCTGCTTCATTCTCACAAGGCCGAAGATGAAGAGCATGCATGGGACAGCATCGCATTGGAAGAGGGCAGCAGCTCTTCGGCGTCTGGCAATGCAGAGAAAGCACAAAGATCCAGCAATGACGAAGGAGAGAAGGTTCCGCTGGTCATTCTCTCAGACGAAGAGAACCCACAGAATTGGAGCATCCGCCACAAGTGGACTGTCACAGCTCTTGTGTCCTGTCTCTATTTCAACGCTACCATCACTTCCTCTATCGGTACTGGCGCTACCTCTCAGTACATGTACCAATACTCGATATCGCAGGAAGTGTCCGCCCTCGTCCTATCTATTTACATGGTGGGCTTCTGCATCGGCCCTCCCCTCTGGGCTCCCCTCTCTGAGTTGTACGGCCGTCTCGTCGTTAATTATCTCTCCGTTTCCGGCTACTTCTTTTTCAACATCGGATGTGCGCTTGCACCCAACATTCGCACCCTGCTTGTTTGCCGATTCTTTGTTGGACTCTTTGCTGCTGCGCCACAGGCCAATTCGGGTGGCATAATTTCGGATATTTGGCTGCCCAAAGTTAGGTTGTGGCCCATGTTCACATATTCACTCGCGGCTTTCATGGGTCCCACGCTGGGTCCGTTGGCCGGCGGATTTCTTGCAGGAAGCGACATCGAGTCCGAGAGATGGAGATGGATCTACTGGATGTTATGCATGCTCTCGGCTGTCTCGATGGCGTTGGTGGTTGTCATCCAGAAAGAATCTTACCCACCAGTCTTACTCAAGCAGAAAGCGAAAAGGTCGCGCAAGGAGACGGGTCGAAACGACATGTTGGCACCAGGCGAGTCGTTGCGCGAGGATGGAACTCTCGCACCCGTTCCTTGGTCCGAGATCCTGTGTGTCCACATTGGTCGACCATTCCGTATGCTCCTCACCGAAGCGCCTTTGATGTATGCGACACTCTGGACGTCCTTCTGCTATGCGGTCATCTTCATTTTTTTCGAGGCCTATCCAGTCGTCTTCAACGGCACCTACGGATTCAATGCTGGCGAAGTCGGTCTTGCGTTCCTTGCCATTGGATCGGGCATTGCCATCTCAACTCCCATTATAGGCTACTTCAACAAGCGTTCCATCGCAGCCCGCGTCGCAGCAGGCGGTAAACCAGTTCCCGAATCTCGGCTGCCACAAGTCGCTCTCTCAGCACCACTCTTCGCCATCGGCTTCTTCTGGTTCGGTTGGACTGCTCGACCTTCCATCCACTACATGGTCCCGATACTTGCCGGCTTACCGATCGGTATCTCGCTCATGCTTGCTTTCAACTCCCTAGCTGCCTATGCTGCAGAATGCTACCATATCTACACGGCGTCGGCGTTAGCAGCGATGGCGTTCTCGAGGTGTCTGTTTGCTATCTTCGTGCCGCTCTTCGGTAGACAGATGTTCGAGGGACTGGGAACGGGATGGGCGGCAAGTGTGTTAGGATTTGTATCGGTGGCGGCTATTCCGGTGCCATTTGTGTTTTTGAAGTATGGAAAGGCGATTAGGTTGAGGAGTAAGATGTGTATTAATGCTTGATGCATCCAGTCGTTCTATCATTGACAACTAAACAGCAAGTCTCTTCTAATCATTGTATACTGCGCATGTTGATACCTAATTTGCATTCATTCACATGCTCAGGTTGGAACACACACACGAGGAGCTGCGAGATGTCTGATTGGCAAACTATACATTGCATGGCACTAGACGCTAAGATGTGTATCTAACAAAGCGATTCCCGATAGCACGAGAGAACAAAAAAGGGTATAGAGTCAAGAGTATAAAAGAGAGTGATATTTTTTAGGCACCTACACGTCGACCCAGTTTACCCGAAGTAGCACGCCAGAATGCCTTGGAAGCGATGATACCCAAGTACTCGAACGTGTACAGTCCCTGCCCAAAGTTTGGGGACAGGGTCCAATAGACAATAAATCAACCGTCCGATAGCATACCTTCCATCTGCTTGGAGGAGCAATCTCTCATAAGTGTTGTCATGGGCCTGGATGCGCAGGAAGCAGGAAGATCTGTCAAGTCATATGAAGGGAGCATGGGAATCGAGGAATGAGGCAGATCGTGGAACTTGCAGTAGAGTTCACCAAGATCTGTGGATGGGATGGCTCTAGGGCAGATCCCACCTAGATCGGTACGAGCAATGGTGGTATCACGAATCCTGCCAGAATCTGCTGTCACAGGGCCAGCGCAGAGATCATAAGCAGACATGCTGCACAGCCACCGAAATGAGCTCAGTGCACAGGAAGCAGGACTGGTCAAGAACCAGGGGCTCCAATCAATCTCATTGAGAATGGTTGGACAGTGAGCTGGGGTGAAACCTCATTGAGAATGGTTGAGACAGTGGGACCTGGGAAGTTTTGCCAAGACTGGCTTGAGATGAAGTGGATCAATCAGTCCCACAATGAGATGAGGATGCTCCATCAAGACCATAGGGCCAGCCACTGGGAACAAGGGATGAGAGAACTCACCACCTGATGAGGTGGGAGAAAACCCCTGAGCACAATGAAGTCAGCTTAGGAGGATCACTGCCTCAGCAGGAGGAGTAGGAGCAGGAAGGACAGGAATGTAGTAGAAGCCAGATAGACAAGGGTGGACAGAGAGGCCACACCCCTGCAAGGAGGGGGGCCATGGCGAAGTCAACACCATGGCACAAAGATATATATACATCCTTCCATCATAGTGAATGAGTGGATCCAGCATCCACTCTACTCTTAACTAAACTATACTCTACTGTAATGTATACTTAGTTGTTCCATCACATAGTGCAATCACAGGCCATTGCTACTACTCTGAGCAGGTGTGTTGTATCACCCCTCACTGACATTGTCTGTAGGCAGTAGTTACTGCAGTCCAGATAACTATCTCACCAAAGGCAGTACTCATACTGCAGTCCAGGCTACTCTCACCAATTTGCTGTCTGATCATTGACACCTCAAACACTCATGTCAAGTCAACAGTTATCACCACATATACTAAGTGTTCTGCAGCAAGCAGGAGCTGACTGTGCTGCATTACCACTGAACTGAGTGTTCACAGCAGTTAGCCAAAACTCATCAAACAAACAATCCTTCAAACAGTCTCAGTGAAAGTGGCCAACAGGTGCATATTCAAGAGCACTCACTGAAACTGGTTGAAATCAATCAAGCCAGTAGATTTCAGGTTCCAGGCACATGACCGCTGATATCTGCAGTATACAGGATCGTATGACATATCTTGCGGAGATCAGTGGCAAGGATGATCGTACGATTAAAGGTTAGTGGCGAGGATGTATGAGGTCACCACTGGATGAAGTAGGAGGCCTTACACAACATTGGAGTTGGTGCTGGCAGGTGGGCACCGATGACAGGGGAGTGATGAAAGGAGGGGAGTCGCCATTCAGATGAAGTGGGACTGACCCCTGACAGAGGTGAGGCAGCTAGAGGCCCATCCATCCACAGGAGACAAAGGATGTGCCACCAAGGAGCAGCAGCCCAGCATGGATGGAAAAGCAGTAGGAAAGATGAGGAGGAGACATAGGTTGGAGGAGACCTCACAGAACAGGAGCAGTGTTGCAGGTGACACTGTGAGGATGGTATATAACCATGCTCCTCATCATAGCAGGCAAGTGGATTGCCATCCACTCTACACCTTACAAACTAGTTATCACTTCTACTCAAGTATACATTAGTTTTCAGTCAGCAAAGTAGCAATCACAAGTAGATTGCTTTGATCATAGTGTGTGTGTTGTATCACTGCTCACTGACATCCAAAGGTGGTTCATAGCAAACCAGCAGTCCAGATAATGATAGAACCAAAGGCAGTTGTCCACTGCAGCCCAGGGATCCCCTCAAGCACTCAGTTGACACACTGGACACTTGTGTTGGTGCCACCAACAGTCTCATTTACACCAGACCTTGGTGTAGTCACAATACATTCATAGTTATTGATCATGCTGAGCTACCTCTGGACAGAGTGTCCATAGCAGTTAGTCAAAACCTGCAATAGCAAAACCACTACTACATCTTTGGACAAGAAAAGTAATAGAGATGTCCCTACTACATATCTCAACAAGAATTGTAATACACCAGACATTACCACATATCTTGACAGGATTTGTAATAGACACTTTCCTGTCACAGATATCAGGTTTTGGGTGTGCGACCACTGACATATATCATAGTTGACATCCCTGGACCAGTATCACTTTTCCAAGCTCTTTCCAATGCAGTGAACCTTGCATTCATCACTCCAGATGACATTCTTCCATTGTTCAACAGTCCAATGTCTATACTCCTTGGCAAACATCCTCCTTGCCTTCCTATGTTTATCTGTGAGCAAGGGTTTTCTTCTTTTTGCCCTAAACTTGAGTCCAGCTTGCTTCAGTGCACATGTAATGGTTTGTCTGGACAAATGAAGTTGATAGTATCATAGCCAGTAGGCTGAAGCTTCAGTAGCCGAAGTATAAGAATCCTTGCTAATTCCTCTGGTGAGTAATGCCTGTTGGAGCAAGGAGAGGAGGAGGGGCCTCCCAGGGGTCCTTTTCACATATTCACTCTCTGGTACCCATTTTGCCAGTTCAGCATTGCTGGATTTGTTGATAGACAGTTTAGTTGCTATCTCCCTTGTTGAGAAACCTGCTTGGAGCAGCTCTTTGACCCATAATAGGTGAGTGGTGGTGTATTTAGTCCTCCCCATATTGATTATTTGCCCTCCTTGCCATGTTGACAGCAGTATTGCCATATGATGTCCTAAGCTTGTCAAAACACCCTGAAACATCTTTGTTTATATCATACTACAATCATATGAAGTTTTGAGCATGGTCTATTAGCTCAATTCTGTGCAAAGCAATAAGTTACACAAGGTACAGAATTAATTGAGGAGGAGGAGGGGCTTCAAAGAGTGCCAACCTAAATTCCAGCATATTCTTTGGTGGGACCACCCTTTTTTTCTCACATATTCTGATAGCAGGCTATCCAAGCTTTGCAACCATACCACACAAAGTAGGTGTTGTCAAAAAGAACAAAGAGTACTGGTCATCATCATGAAAAGGACCTGAGAACACCATATCAAATTAATTAGATGCTGGGCAATTTTGGATGCGACTGTATCTCGATAAGATCTGTGTCATGGTTCTGGATGCGCAGGAAGCAGGAAGACCCATCAAGTCATATGAAGGGAGCATGGGAATTGAGGAATTGGGCAGATTGTGGGATTTGCAGTAGAGTTCACCAAGATCTGTAGAAGAAACAGCTCTATGGCAGATCTTGCCTAGATAGGCACAAACAATGATGGTATCATGAATCCTGCCAGGATCTGTAGTAAACAGGACCATATGACATATCCTGCAGAGATTAGTGGCAAGGATGATCATATGACAGATCCAGTGGATATCAGTGGCAGGGACATTCAAGGTCACCACCAGATGAGGTAGGGGCCCTACATGATGATGAAATCAGCATAAGAAGATGGGTGCCAAAGTCAGGAGGTAGATGAAAGAGGGGGGCATGCACTGTCATTAGGATGAAGTGGGGCAACCCCTATCAATGATGAGATGGTGCTGGCTCTCCTCAACCCAGGTGCAGGAGAAGCAGGGCTTGGCAAGGAGGAGATGCCTCGGTAGAGACCTCTACCACAGTGCTCAACAAAGAGGGTACCCTCTGGAAAGAGAGCTTGAGCAGAGTCACAGGCAACACTGCAAAGATGAATATAAACCATGCCTTCTTGTCATAAGTGGTCAAGTGGATCCTCATCCACTCTACACCATATATTACTAGCTATAACTTCACACAAGTATACTTAGTATTCAGTCAGCAAGTTGCAATCACAGTAGATTGCTTCCATTGTAGCACATGTGTTGTAACACTGCTCACTGACATCCGAAGGCAGTTCATAGTAACCAGCAGTCTGGATAACATTCATAGAACCAAAGGCAGTCATCCACTGTGGTCCAGGGATCCCCTCAAGCATTCAGTCGACACACTGGACACTCATGTTGGTGCCACCAACAATCACACTCACACCAGACCTTGGTGTCAGTACAAAGTTCCTATAGTTATTGATTGTGCTGAGCTACCTCTGGATGGAGTGTCCACAGTGGTCAGTCAAAACCTGTAATAGCAAACACACTACTACATCTTCGAGCAAGAAAAGTCATAGAGGCTGTCAGAGGTCGCACACCCAAAACCTGATATCTGTAATAGAAATGTGTCTATTACGAATCCTGTTGAGATATGTGACAACACTTGTGGTATTACAATTCCTGTTGAGATATGTAGTAGAGATGTCTCTATTACTTTTCTCACCCAAAGTTGCAGTAATGGTTTTGCTATTGCAGGTTTTGACTGACTGCTGTGGACACTCCATCCAGAGGTAGCTTGGCATGATCAATAACAAAGAATATATTATGATGACACCAAGATCTGGTGTGAGTATGCTTGCTGGTGGTGCTGACATGAGTGTCCAGTGTGCCAACTGATTGCTTGAGGTGATCCCCAGACCGCAGTGGACAACTGCCTTCGGTTCTATTGTTATCCGGACCGCAGGTTTCT